CCGCTGATTTCAATACGTTACGTTTTACTTTTTTCGTGTTGCTATTTGCATCAAAGCTTGCTTTCCTTTCTTCATTAGTTATTTCGAATCGACGATGTTCTACGCTTTTAGATACACATTCACCAATACAATAATAGATAATTGGGTTTTTGATTTTTAATATTTCTTAGTATATTAAGGAGTGGAATTATATGTATGGTTGTGGTATCATCCTTAGCCTCGGGTCACTTGCAAAATAATGAAGCACCAGCTCTTGTACGAGGCATAAGCATGAGAAGGCTCCTTGGTTTTTTTTTACGAATGAAAAAATAACCTTTTCTACTTTCTCTGTCAAAATCAACTATTGCATTATTTATTACACATTTCATTATCATTTTTAGATACAAGTTTCCATCTTTTTAACTTAACCATATATCAATTAGGATTTTGATGTTAAGTTTTCTACCTATTTTCTAAAAATGATTATAGTATAATTAATATAATTGTTATTACAAGAATATATCATAATTAATAATAAATAAAATAATTCTTTCTGATTTCGTTTAACCATTAACCTTTGGAAAAGAAGACGTGATAAGTGTACGCAATACGTCAACCGTATCCAGGGATCTTTTATTGGATCTCTTTTGCAGAATCCGAGTTATCATAATCTGACTTTTTATGTATATTATTAACACTGGCAGTAAGTATCGCTGTTTCCATTTATTTTAACTAATAGCGTATGCTCAAAAAGAATAAAGGGATTTATTATAAAAGAAATTGAAACAGTAGTTAAGAGAACAAGATACACTATCAAGAAGAGCTTTTAAAAACAAAAATATATTTATGCAATAGTTTAATTAATATTTAAAGGCTTCTAGAGTAGAAAATTGTAAATTTTATAATTTTCTTTCTATATTTATATATGAGAATAATCCCATATATCATAAAATGGTATAATGATAAATAATAAACAAAAAACCCAATTTTAATGTTGATTGCTGCTGGTCCTAATTGTTCAGGAAAATTC